TATCGGCTGCTCCGGCCTGGCTCCGAAAGGGCGGCGCCGTTGCCTGCCCCGCGGAAGGCGGGCTGCTCTGCCCCGGGGCCCCAGGAGGAACAAGTCGATAGCCGAGGAAACGTGTTTCTCGATGAGAGCGCAGGCGGCGCCGGCTAACCTGGGTGAGACCCTAGAGAAGCACTAAAGGCTCCTTCCTCCCCGCGGGCAGGGGGGCATCAAGGGGAAGCCCCCCCCTCCTCGTAGGGGGCATCTGGGGATTCGGGGAACCCCCTCCCCGTGGGGGGCACATTGGGGGGCATAGTGGGGGCACCCCCTGGAAAAAGCCACGTTTCTACGCGTGGTTGCCAGGGCGTAGCCCTGGGTGAGACCCTAGAGAAGCACTAAAGGCTCCTTCCTCCCCGCGGGCAGGGGGGCATCAAGGGGAAGCCCCCCCCTCCTCGTAGGGGGCATCTGGGGATTCGGGGAACCCCCTCCCCGTGGGGGGCACATTGGGGGGCATAGTGGGGGCACCCCCTGGAAAAAGCCACGTTTCTACGCGTGGTTGCCAGGGCGTAGCCCCGCTCTGTGTTCCTGAGCCTGCAGCCAGACGGCCCCAGTGCCTCTGCTGCCGCGCAGCGCTTTGCCGCTCTGAGTAACGCGGACCCAGTTTCACAGCCGCTCTTTGTAACCCTGTGGGCAGCAGCGCGCCCCCTGAAATGACCCCGCTTGCTTTGGGCCGCCGGTGGGGAAGCAGCTGTAACTATTCGAGGAGAAGGGAATGTGACAAAACAAGCTGTGAGGTTGCAAGTGGGAGTCTTCCAGCGACCAGGAAGAGGCTGTACAGAAAACCCCCCTTCCCACAAAGACCAGGGCGCTTTGCTGCCAAAGCTTCGAAGAGGAAAACCTGCTTGTTTTTTGGATGCACTGGCTGATATAAAAGATGGAGCCTCTAAGTGCAGTGGAAGAACAAAGCTCTAAAGGGAATCCCAGAAACTGAAGCAGGCTGGTCCATGGACGCCCATCTCACACAGACCAGCAGAGGCTGAGCCTCCCCAAACGGCCCCTCGTGGCCCTACCTACGTTCCCCGGACCATCTCTGGCAGACCCATCATCTGTCCCCAGAGTGCCTCTTAAATTTCGATTAATTGACTAATAAAATAGTCAATGAAATTTTCATCTACTATTCGATCAGATGATAGGGCGCCTCCGCCTTTGAAGTGTAGCAACAGCCCCAAGGCTGTTACTACACTTCAAAGGCCAAAGTGCTGTGGGGAGCACAGGGCCAGCAGGGGACAGTCCTTTCAAAGCGACAGTGTTTCAAAGCAGTAGCACTGCATGGAGTCAGAGGTCAGCTGGAGACTCCCTTGCTGACCTCAGACTCCATGTGCTGTTGCCACTTTGAAACACTGTGGGGGTCTCAGCATCAGGCTCCCTGCAGCATTTCAAAATGCACTGCACAGAGCCCTGGATCAGGTGGGGAGTCCCCAGCTGATCCCTGGCTTCACATGGCGCTGCTGCTTTGGAATGCTGTGTGCAGCCTGGGGACACCCCCGCTGGCCCTGGGCTGCATGCGATGTTTCAAAGCAGCAGTCCTGTGTGGAGCCCAGGATCTGGCCCCAGACTCCATACAGTACTGGCGCTTTGGCTGCCAGGCCAGCCCCATTGCTATCAGAGATTCCCTGCTGGGGCCGGGACTCCCTGGCTGTTGCCTGGCCCCACTGCCAGGATTACTCAGGTGGAGCTCCCAAGCTGCTGTCTGGCCTCACTGCCGCTGGGGGTTTCCCAGTCAGGACTGCCCAGCCATCACAGCCCTACTGCAGGGGGATTCCCTGGATTCTCCAGCCACCTCCGGCCCCACTACCAAGCTCCCCAATGCCACCTGGCCCCACAGATGCTAGGGCTCCACTGCCCAGCCAGGATTCCACAGACCCTAAGTTCTTCAGGCTGGCTCCTACTCCTGGGGCTTTTTGGTCCAGCAACATCTGTGGCCTTGCTGGATCATGGATGTTGCTGGACCAGAGAGTCCCAGATTTGGGAGATTCAACCTGTACAATATTTATATTTCAATTGATTTATAATTATATGGTAAAAATGAGATAGCAAGCAATTTTTCAGAGATTTCATATTCATGTATGTGAACTTCCTGCCTGCTTAATTCCTAGGTGCTTTTTACTTCTAAACCTCAAAATCCATTTTCTGAACTCAAAGGATAATCACCTGTGGCTTATTTTTCCTGTGTGCTGCTTCTCTTTTGACCTTGTATACACATAGCTTTCAATTGTGTTAGAGCTTACAATGCTTAATTTCCATCTTGACAGAAACAACTGAATAAACTGAATAAATGTTGCTTGTCTGACACAAACCTGTTTTTTTTTCACCTCTGCTGGTGACTAATACTTTGATACAGCCATGAAGAACATATTATCAGTGTATATGTACACATAGCTCCCTATCTAGTACTTATGCATACATCATAGAATGATTTTAATGACTATTGTGACCCTGTCTTTCATTTAAAACATCACATGACATTCTTTGGTGAACCAGAATATATGTACCAGAATCAAGACATTTCAGCTGGCGTTAGTTCTTGGGTGACTCATTTAAATTCACATCATATTACAAATTAAATTATGATTGGACTTGCTTTTAAATGTAAAACTAATTACCAAGTGTATGACAATTATATATATTTTTAATGTATCTACAGTCTGTTCTAAGCAATGTTTGCAAGTGAAATGGTTGAGGCAACCTGCATAATTGGACATAAAAGGTCCTGTGAATGTAATGAAGTGGAAGAATTCCAGAAAGTTAAAAGGAAAAAGAAGATAGAAGACATTTGCCAAAACCAGCACAAACGCAAGGTAATCAGTGTAATTATTAATTTGTTGTATTACATGTGCATATAGGTGGAGATCCATCAGAGGTATCTTTATTAGAGCTTGATTTTCAATTTGTGATCACCTCCTTCTGAAGAGGTATTTTTGCTTTGCCCCACTATTCACAAGGAATAAAAAAATCACGTTTTCAGTATTCCATAGTGCATATATATGATAGGGATGTTAGCTAGCATGTCATTGAATAGTAATGTAACCGCATACAATTTTAGCAGTTACCCAACTATTCGATAGTCTCCGGAAGTGGGACCAGCACCCAGTGCACTCCCAGCCCCACTTCCACAGGGTGGCAGGTGGAAACCAGTCCACGAGGGGAGCCAGTTTAAAAACCAGCTTCCCATGCAAAGCAGCTCCCGTGCTGCAGTCCCTGATACAGAGGGGACTGCTGCCATGGAACAGACTCTGTCCGCGGCAGCTCCAGGCTCGCGGGGGACACAGCCTGCCCTGTGAGATGCCGGAACAGCCTCTGTCTGTGGGGAGCTCAGAAAGAGGCAGCAACGCAGGGTGGGGGAAAGCAGCTCTGCCCAACACCAGCTCCTGCCTGCCCCTTTCCCCCACTTTGCCGGCATGTATCGGCTCCCACCTATCTCCCTCACCCTCTGCACTGCTGCTCTTTTTCAGATGCTGTGGGGGGGGGGGGGGGGATGCATGTAATCAACAGGATTAACAGGGCTAATTGTGTAGTTATCTACACATTGACATCCCTAATATATGACTGCACAGGCCTTTTTTACAATTACTAGTCCAGCATGTATAATTCCTTTCAATGCTCTGGGTTTCTCACATGATGAGCCCTTTGAAAGGGCCAATGTGAGAAGGAATAAGGAGATTTAAGACTTTAGGAGCAAAAAGCACCCAGTTCTCCTCTCCCTTTAAAAACAACCTATCCTGGTTTTTATTCAAGAGTCACATCCCTTTTCTCCTAAGATGTCGTGCATTCTTTTCCTGTCTCACCTAGCTGCTTTCGATGGCCTGATATACAGGCTCCATTTGAGAAAATCCAGGAGTAGCCCAGGTATCTCTAGCCAAGGCCTCTGCCCAGCCTGTCTCCCAAACTCTTATCTTAGCCGCAGTCTGTCAGTCAGTCACATCAGCCTTTTCTTAGCACACTGCACAACACATGCTGGACTAGTGGTACATTTGAATTCCACATTTTCCAGGGAGATTTGTAATTTTCCTGCATCTGTGCCAGCTGTGAAATAACTCAGCTGCTTGATAGGGTTTTTGAAGAGGTTGAGGGTTTGTTTCTTAGAATGATGTAGGTGGCTGGCTGTTTGAAATGATTATTATAATGTTGCTGAGATTTTATTGTCTGGACTCCTTATTAGAGCACCTAAAGCCCTGGGCAGGCATTTTATTAAAAGTAATAATTAACTAAAAGAATATTATATTAGCAGATTAACATGGTCTTTGTTAAATTGTATTTAATAATTAAATGAGAGAATCTTTAACTGTACTTACATTTTATCAACATATGTGGTCTGGCATGATTTTAGTTAGACAGATGTTCACTTATCATGAGTGTGGTCAAGTTTCCTGTGGTCCCATAAAGTTTGTTTACAGCCACCTGTCCTGGCTCTCTGTTTGGTGCTGTTATTTAGCTCTAATTTCCCTCTAAATGTCTTCTAAGAACCCAGGAAGCAGTGGAAGTGTTGGTAATGCTGATAGAAAATATTGATTTCCTATGGTTTGGTAAGTTCTGTGGTTCGGCACTGGTCACGTCCCCAGGGTACCAGACTAGAGAGGTTAAAGCTGTACCATATGATCTGAAAGGAGAATGTTGTCTAATGATTTAGGGAGACCTGAAAGGAAATAGGCTTGCGAACATTTAAAACACTATCACTCAATAATAGTAAGATGCAATTTTGCCTTGCAATCCCCTTCATTTTTCCATTGATCCCCTATATTATTTAGTAGGGCATGTAAATGGTTCTTTACTTGCACTCACTTTTGTAGGAGAAGAAATCCCACTTGTCAGCTGGGTTGTTTAGTGAGGATTGTGAAATCAGCTATGAACAGGTGTATGAGTTGCTTAAGTATGCAGCTTTGGGAAAACATCACAATGCAGTTCAACCCAGGTATAGTATATGTTTATATTCTGTATACATTCACATCCCAGGTTACTGTCCATATGTTAAACTACCTATAGGCACATAAGTAGAGCCCTACCAAATTCACAGCCATGAAAAACATGTCACAGGCTGTGAAATCTGATCTCCTGCCATCCCATGAAAACTAGTCTTTTGTGTGCTCTTACCTTACAGATTTCCTGGCTGTATACCAACATTTTTCAAATTGGGGGTCCTGACCTAAAAAGTGATTGCAGGAGGGTTACAAGGTTATTTTAGGAGGTCATGGTATCAGCACCCTTACTTCTATGATGACTTTGGAGTTGGGTGGTACACTGTACCATGCTACCCTTACTTGTGTGCTGCTGTTGGCAGTGGCTCTGCCTTGAGAGCTGGGCTCCCAACCAGCAGCCACCTCTCCAGCTGCTTAGCTCTGAGGGCAGCGCCACTACCAGTCGCAGTACATAAGTAAGATCAACAATACCACAATCCCCCCACAATAAACTTGCAGCCTTCCTCCCACAACTATTTTTTTTTGTCAGGACCTGTACAATTTCAACACTGTGAAATTTCAGATGTAAAAAGCTGAAATCATGAAATTTACCATTTTAAAAATCATCTGATCATGAAATTGGCCAGAATGGACTGTGAAAGTGGTAGGACCCTACACAAAAACCCTGTTTTTAAATATGCTCTGATTATTTTTGCAAAATTGTCACCATATCATCCATTTATTATATAGAGCAGTCATAGCTAGGTTTTGATTCTGTTTACTCATTTTGATGAGCATGTAAATAAGATGCAGGTGATGGAAATGAATACTATAAGAAAAATGAGTAGCCTTTGGCACCTTAGAACAGTGTTTCTCAAAGTGGGCTGCAGGCCCAATTTGAAAAAGCTGCTAACAGGCCACTCTGGCTTATTTACTTAACTCCTCTACAGTCACAGATTTTTTTTACATATATTTATATTAGGTATGTTAAAGACTAGTCGACTATCCAATAAGCATTTGCCTATCGGATAGTCTGTTGACTAATCGATTTCCCCTCCCCCCCCACACCCTTGCTGCCTCTATCAGATAAGGCAGCAAAGAAGGGGAGGGGAAGGGGTACTTCAAAGCAGCAGCGCCGCACAGCTGAGCCGGGAATCAGCTGTGCAATACCACCGCTTTGAAACCCCAAGGCAGTGTTCAGCTCTGCCCCTTTAAAATGCCCGCCGGGCCGTGGAATCAGGGGTCAACTGGGGACTCCAGGTTCCGTGTGGCATTTCCCCAGAACCTGGGGTCAGCTAGGGAAATGCTGCAGGGAGCCCAGGATTAGCTGGGGAGTCCCCAACTGACCTGGGTTCTGGGCAGCTGCCTTGCAGAGCCTGGGATCAGCTGGAGACATCAAGGAAGCATTTCAAAGGGGCAGCACCGT